TTGAGATACGACAAAGGCAGGAGGAGCAATAGCATGTGATTAAAAACAGCCTGTAAAAGTACAATTTCTAATCTACTGCTTCAGGAACGTTCTGTCTATATATGGTCAAATCCTGGACGTCAATGGTAGGGCACATCTCAGAATGTTATGTTATGCACTATCAGGATGTTATGGCGTTTTAGGAGTTTGTTTTCTCCTGTGTGGTTCAGCGTGGCTCTGCAACTATATTACAACAGGCATGCACAAGGCAGGCAAACACAAACTAACTGGAGGAGCTTCTACATCAACCTTTGTCACCTGAAAGCTCTCCCTACCAGCACCCCCATGAAAACAGGGCTCAGAGCTCCCCACCACCGCAGAAGCAGCTTTCCTTCCCTGGGAAGAAAGCAAGGGAGAGGCTCTGCGATCCAGCCAGGGGGTGGAGCAGCTGCAGAGGGGGATCAACAGCCCCTCCCCCCTGAAACAAAGTGCTATCTCAGCCATCCTGCCGCACACGCCAGAGGAAGTCCTGCTTCCTGGGCAGAGGGGCTCAGCGAGCACACCCAGAGGAACAAACACGGAGAAGCCCAACCAGGAAACGTCTCAGGGAAGGGACCCTGGTCGTGGGATGTGCTCCGCCCTGCTTTGCCATGTAACATGTTTAGTGTGGCTTGTGTCCCATTCCGCAGGCCGCAAGCTTGTCGTTTTGTCTGATTTTTCTGGTGCCAGAGCATTTGAGAGCCTCTTATCCTAGCTGCAGGGGCAGGAAAGAGCTCAGTGGGTGAAGCAGCAGGTGGAGAAGACCAAAAGAATGTGGAGAGTAAGGAACAGAGGGAGAGAGAGAGAGAGAGAAGCTGGGAAAGCAAAGCAGAGAGAGAGAGAAAAGTGAAGGGCAAAGGAAGCCGGGCGAAAGAGCCATGGGGAGGGTGGGGCATGCAACCCCCCCACCAGGCCCCCAGCATCCAGAGGCTGTTCACCTTTGCCTTAGTGGCCCCTCAGGCTGCCATGCCAGGCAGACCCCGCTGGCCTGCAGAAGGGAAGCAACTGAGGGCCGCCTGCTGACCAGGCAGAAACAGCAGCCCCGGTGCTGAAGGCCAGCCGGGCTCCCGGGCGAAAGAGCAGTGCCGTTTGTGGGCAGCTACCTTGTGTTTGGTCATGGTGCTGAAGTGGTTGTTTCTGAAGAACACGCACAGCTCTCCTTCTTGAACGGTGGATGTCAACTCACACAAGCCATGGTAAGTTAACTGAGTGGCTGTGCTACTGAGGAACTGCTCTGCTATGGAGCCTGCAAAGAGACACCACTGCATGTGAATGCGCACGGACTCGCCCCAAGGTCCCCCCACTCCGAGGAGCCATTCCCCACTCAACCTCCTAGACCAGCCAGCTGCTTTGCTCTGCTTTGCTGACATATCTGACGATCCAAAGGAAGCGTGAAGGGCAGAGAGGCAGCTGGAGAAGGTTAGAAGGGGACGCACAATGAGCAGAAACCGAGCGAGGAGACACACAAATGTAGAACCAGCACTAGGCTCATCCACACAAGCAGGTTGACCAAAGGGTAGCACCCCCTTCCATGAGGAACTGATGGACACCCCAAAAATCAAACTCCAAGATCAGACAACGCATCAGCCAAGCTTCCCTTGAGAAAATCAACCGCAGGAAAGAGCTTGCGGAGAGGGAGGCTGGGCTCTTCGGAGAATCCTTAGGAGAGCCTGTCCCAGCCAGAATGCCCTTCCCCTCCCCTTTCCTGCAGCGAATGGGAACAAAAGCAGCCTTTTTCTGGCCAACCATTATGCTGGATCAGAGGAACATTTGCTCCGAATCGCAGGGCTCCACGCGCTCAAGAGCGCCGCACCCACCTTCCTTCCTCAGCTCGCTGTTGTCCGACTGCTTACAGCAGATGATTTTTTCCACCAACTGGTTGTAGCTGCAGCTGCCGACTGCTTTCACGACGTCTCCAACCTGCAGCAAAAGAAAAGGGCCGCCCTCGGTCAAACTCACACTCTGCTAAGCCAAACAGACACCAGTAGAAAGGTGCGCGGGGCACGGGGCTCCTGCCTGCTTGCCAGGGCAAAGCGAGCATTCCGGTGGACTCAAAGGGGCGGCTTCTCTCAAATGCACCTCGGGAGATTTTGGCCACAGTGTTGAGATCCGCCTTTTGGCGCCCCAAGTCATCCTGCCAGCCCCGCCTATCACTCGGGGAGGGGGTCTTCCAGCCCCTTGGGCCATGAGGCAATGGCCTGCATCAAGGCGGCCAGGAGCCACTGCAAGCAGCTGCCTGTGGACTGAGCTCTCCTCCCACCACTCTGCCTTCCCAGGGAGGGGCTGGCTGGGGCCCCTGGGGGACATCTTTCCCGCAGCGGCTGCTCGCTGAGGACTTCCTGCAACCCCGTTTTGGAAAAGCCAAACTCTGATGGCCATGTCCTTCCAGGCGCCGAGCGCCAGAGAATCTTGGCCTTTTCTTGCTATTTCTTGGGCCTTTAGCAAAGCTTGTCCCACGTGATCTTTGGGGCCCTTTAACAGCTCGGTTGTTTTAATTGCTCTTAAAAGCCTTGCTAAATTGAAATGGCTCTTCTTGTTGGTGCTTTTGGCATTAAATATTAAAGCAGCGCTTTCCCGCCCTAAAACTAATCACATAAACAGCCTCATTCTTACCTGAGGATCTACTAACCACCCGTGATATAACGGAATATCAAGAAGATCGAATACAATGCATTCGGGCGTGTATTCAAATACTCGTACCCCAGTGAACTTCACATTCACATCAAGGCCGGTCTGAAACTTGTGCAGGATTGCCATCGCATCGCTCACGTTCTGTTAAGACCAAGACAAAAATTAACGAAAAAGCTGAAGTCAGTTGAGGGCATAAAGAGGCCAAACGCTTTGTCTGCCCCGACTACGGAATCTCTAGACCGCCTCGCGTGAAAGAGAGCGACTCGATTTGCACTGCAACATTCTAGATGATCAGCGGTTGGCAGCGAAGAGTTGGAATTTTCTGAATCTCTTTGCTGCCATCTATGAATCGGGGGCATTTTTGAAGTCCCAATCTAACTGCCCTATTGTGAAACAGGACTTCTGTGCATGGCCACAGAGACTACGTCACCAAAACCACCTTTCCCTTCACAGTGTGATAAAGTATACAAAAATGTGGCTGTGCGTCCCTGAGTATTTTACGGACAGGAGAAGGCTTCCGTACTTGGCATTTGATGGGGCATTTATACCAATGGAAAAATCAACGCATTAGAATTCACTGTTAGGAAATGCCGCTTCAAGTTAAGCTTGTTACCTGTTCATAGTTTAAACGCTGGATTTCAGAGATTTCTTTTGGTTTTGAATCAAGGATATAGTCTCCTGCAAGAAAACCAAAAGTTCTCATTTGAAAGCCATCACTCTGCAATCCAGACAGATTCACTCTGGCTACATACAGAGACGGCCCTCCCGTTTGTGGAGATCTTCAGGAGGCCTCCCGAACTGTTGCTCAGCGGCACCAAGAAGTGGATTCGCTCGGCCTGCTTGGAACCGTCCCGCAGCTCGAGCGGGGAAAGGAAGCCCGGAGGACGCCACTACTCCGGACAGAAAAGGCGGAGGGGGGGATCTGCACTTCCTGCCGGCCGGGGGGCTCTTTCACTCCAAGGGGGGCCCAGCCAGGGTGCCTGGCGGCCCTTCAGGAGGGGAGAGGCGGGCAGGAGGTCGGCGCCTCTTTCTCGGCCCCCGAAGGTCCAGCTGGCAAAGGCGAAGGCCGTCTGGGCGCTTGGGAAAGGGCGCGGCCGCCTCCCCGCCCCAGAGAGTC